TTTCTTTTTATGTATGTAATTCGCTACAAATTTTAATTCGACTGTAATGTTTATCAATTTCATATCGTAGGCTGGTAGTATTGCGCGTAAAATACCACGATTCCGTAAATTCCCAACAGTTTATACGTCTGTCTGTCTGTCTCATTTCATCTGGTGCAATGGTATGTATATGTAAGTATATGATTGAATGAATGTGTTTGTATACGTATATTTCATAAACATACTTCTGGTTAAAAACGGGCATATAATGGTGCTAAGATAGAAAGATTGACTGATAGATAAAGACAACAAATATGAATATTTTTGACTATCCATTTATTATTGACTTAAATAGCATGTTATTACAAACAGTCTCTTTTAAATCATCCTGTCTGCAATTTTACATCCAGTCACGTGGATCAATATTGATTTTAAAGGCGAACCAAAATAATATGACGAAATCTATCTAATAATTGGATCTTTTAAACTTACATATTTAAAAGCATGGAAAGTCAAATAGAATTAAACAAAATTTAAGAAAGCTGTTTTAGATAAATTTGTTGGTGGCAATCAGAAATGTTGTCTAAAGACGCCAGTAAATTTGAGAGTTATTACAACGTGTCAGCATAGGCAAAGAAAAATCATGCTGAACGTTATAGCATGCACCGTCCGATGCTTGATGTTTCAAGTTTTGAGAAAACCAGCGAGAAATGTAAATAATTAAATATTAGGCTGAATGAATGCATGGCTATATTTGACTGGACAAGGCGAGAAAAAATACGTGTGTGAGGAAATATTTTTTTGATTGTTTAAAGATGTTAGAACCCTTCCCACCACCACCAAAAAGAAAATGAAACAAAAAAAACGTCATTGGGCATGTTAGTTAATCTGAATATTGTTCGATATTTACAACCAAATATGAATAAATATTCCATCTGCATTAATTACTTTCTTTTATCTGTATAATAGCTAATATAAGTATTGCTTTGTTAGGTTCCTCTGAATACATTAATATACCGTGTTCCATTTATAAAAAATATGGTGTAAAATATTCAGCATTATAAATCAGCTGATGTATCGATCTCGTGTTATAATTTTCTTATCCAACTCGTGTTATAGCTTTCTTAACTAGTGTTATAAAGGAACTATTAGCCTTGATAAAATACCTGAGAAAGAAGAACATATCAAAGTATGAAAAATGCAAATTATTGTGATGATTCCTATAAATGTATCTGAGATTATGGATTATGAATATATATTATCTGGTATAATATAAATATGGACAGTATATTTAAAACATTTGATATAATTTAAGTATGGACAGTAAAGTTTATTTAATTATCGGATACAATGAAAGTATGGACACCGAATCTAATTATCTGATGTAATGTCTATAATTATTCTCCTAGTATGAACAAAATATGTTAGACAGATATAATTTATTCAATGGTTTAACCATAATGAACTGCAGTATAGCTAAGATTCTGAACTATCCAAAACTGGAAATTTTTGTGGGCATGCGCATCGGAGCTAAGGGAGGTAATTTTAAGCGCTAAGATCAGTAACTCCGTTGCAACCGTGAAATGCCCTCTAGAACGACGCTTCGTATTTAAGTCAATGTATTTTGCCGACCACCTCGACTGATTAAATTTTAGTACGCGATGGACTTTTCTCAGAATCAGTCCAGCATCTACTGCTTGTTTTAAATTTTTATAATGTATCACATAATTTCTTTTATTTAACAAATTTGGAACTAACTCCTGAACAATCGAATTTTTATGCTGCTGTCAGAGCTTGTTGCTAAGGTGATAGTAAACAAATCTATCATCATCGATTCTGCATAAAATGGGCAATCGTTATGTAGATCATGTAACGAGATAGGGTAATCTAGATAGACTTCAACAAAGCATGAAATATCATGTAAATAGTTTTCAGTTTCTTTAAGAATTTGACCTGGAGATATCCTATGAAATTCAGCGAAGGGCATTGGCATTGGACAAAGCCCAGTCATACAAATTAACACAATCTAGATAAATAATATGATAGGATAGGAGATTTTTATTATAATGTTTTAGATATGTATTATTAGTTACCGAATATTTTTTGTTATAACACTAATTCCACCTCTGATAACTTTTTCAATAAACTTGAACATATCGATACCTGTCAAGTGATCCTGTTCTATTTTATTTGTTTTAGTAGATCGTCCAATGACTGTCCGGGAGCAGAATAATGCCAACAAGGATCTAGTCCATAATTGTTGCAGCTTACTCGATGAAAACGTTCAAAATATCAATTAGTAATAAAATATCGTTTTTTTTTAAATATAAGTCAAGAAAATCATCAAATGTTCTGCAGCTTTATACCAAATATTTTGTGCGTATTTATACTTCCTTGCGAGGTTAAACGTATATTCGCACATGCAAAAGGCAGGAAGAATTTTACCATACTTCGTTTAAAAGTTTTACTAGATGTATAAGGTTTTTCTGATGAACGGAGGATGTGAATGGCGTTTGTGGTGATCATTTATACTTATCCATGTAATTAAAACAAACGCCAGTTGTCGACACGGGAGGGGGAAGGTCCCTCTGTCGATGAGAAAGCGGGGAGTGGGAAGGTGACAAAATGAGGAGAAAGTTACCCTTTGAACTTTCCTAATGATAATATATGGGATTTTGATACCACTGTCTTAGAAAACCTGTTTTACCTCCCTGTTGAGGTGGCTATCTCAGATGTTACGAAAATACTGCTATGGCCATAAGAGGTAAGTATATAGGATACATGCTTTCTTTAAATGGGGCCCCGAGTGGCCGAGTGGCCGAGTGGTCTAAAGCGCTGTCAGTTACGGATCACTGCCATCTCACCTCCGTCTGCGTGTGTTCGAGTCTAGGATTCGGCGAATGTAGATATGTGAGAACGCTTGCCAGTAGCTTCTCGTGGGTCGGTGGTTCTTTCCGGTGATTTTCCAGTTTCTTCCTCCACCATTACTACTGGCTGCCATGAATAGCCTATCGAGTGCTGAAACATGGCGTTAAGCTCAACAACAACAACAACAACAACAACAAAGGCTTTCTTTAAAATATCTTTGCATATGTGCCGAAAATGTTTCCTGAATGGGCAGAAGGTTACGCGTATATATAAAATTTGATTGCTTCATCTGTGTGACTCGAAGATTGCTCCCATTCTTAAACAAGAAGCTAAGGCTTGGGGGTTTTATGATGCCAATAATATTGAAAATATTAATTTATCATTTTGAAAATATATCTATTTTACATCTAAGTCTATACCAAATGCATTCGTACATAGCTAATTTGAAATAATTAGTATGCAGTGTATAATATATAAACGTATTTTGAAATAATGGCTTAAACTTCTAAAACTATCAGAAGATAGATATTCTATAAAATGCTACAATTTCCAGTTAAATGGGGTTTGGGTGGGGGAGGATTGTGATTGCTGATCTAACAATAATAAAAAGCTTCTATTTACATTTGGATTTGGCAGTATTTGGTGTACTCCAGGCGTATATGATCAGAATAACTTTCGTAGAATTTTCAGTCAGAGATGTGAAGATATTTTAGGCAAATCCTGCAGGCTGATATTAAATCAGAAGAAAGACTACGTTTCTATAGGTCATGGGGAGTATAATTCAATGATATCCAAAATTGTAAGGAGACAGCGATTTCTGGTATATATTCATTATCCTTAGACTGGGCAACTTGCCAGTCATATATAGCACAGGAAGATACCAAAGTGTTTGTTACGAACAAAGATTATGTCAAATTTGTAACATTATTATCGAAAAGGAATTCAATTTTATTACAGTTTGTCCGCTATATGGAGACAAATTTAGGATTTTTATACAAAAATGTCAGTAAAATTCTGATGACTAATTTAGCAATGTTTACTATAAAAGCCTTAAAAATCGGAGTATCCGTTTTATCAACTACTGCTACATAAAAATCTACACCAATATCACAAACCTTGCTCCATGCAAGTTTAGGGTTATCTTTAATTAGTTTTCTTTAAATATGTAAAATACTTTTGTATTTCACCAAATTCGAAAAATACAATGTCTTTTTATACTGTACGATGTGTGGATATGCATCATTGGCCAGTGACCTGTGTTACAAATGAATATTATTATTATTTTTATTATTATTGTTACTATTATTATTATTATTATTATTATTATTATTTTTATTATTATTATTATTATTATTATTATTATTATTATTATTATTATTATTATTATTATTATTATTATTATTATTATTATTATTATTATTATTATTATTATTATTATTATTATTATTATTAGTAGTAGTAGTAGTAGTAGTAGTAGTAGTAGTAGTAGTAGTAGATTTTACTTTGCATTATTATTTGCAGAATTATTTACGTTTTATTTCATACTGTAACGAAATACAAATTTAATGACAGTTGAAGGGTATAGGGTTATGATCTGGGGCACGTGATACAAAAAAAAAAGAGTTACACGTAATAATTTACGTAATGGATTTAGCTTGAAAGGAAATATTTAAATGATAACGTTTCTGAGGCTATAATAAGTAGGAATTTAAATATCAGGAATAGATTACTTTTCAAATGAATAACCCAATTAATTTCCTGAAGCTATGGGGTACCAACAATGTTAGGGATAGTGTGCGGAATGAAATTTTCTTTCGAGCCAGAATAATTATCTTTTGTCCATGTTAAAGATAAATATTTTTTATCCAATAATCCAATAAAATGGTGAAAATGTCCAGATTAGCGGAGGTGTGTGTGTCTGTCTGTCTGTGTGTGTGTGTGTGATTTGGGTTTGTAGCACAGCATTTAACAATTCATTCAAATCGCTACGATATCTTCAATGTAACAGTTTTATAGCGATGCTGAGCACTGGGGTATCATGCTGCACCCAGTGACATTATCCTGGCCCAGGCCGACTAGTCCTTACACTAACCATTTAATACTGAGGGCCAAGCGAGGCAGCTGATACTAGTACCAATTTTATGTCTTTGGTATGCATCCGCTGGGGTCTCAAACCTCGACCTCTCACATCAGAAGCTGACGCTCTTACCACTAGGCTACGGGAGCGGTCGATAAGCGAAGGAAACTTATCGGTAAAAGATGAAGCTTTTATTATTGAAAGGGGCAGTGGATAATACTATGGAGAAAGCATAAACACTGAAAACACTTTAAAATCAAGCTCTGCTCTGATTAGTCATAATTATTTGGTAGTATGCTACACAAAACATGCGAGTCTTCAGTTTATTAAGTGTATTAAATAATGACATAGAATCGAAACATTTACAAGGTCATTATAAAACTGGAAGAAAAATATTTTTTTTTAAAAAAAATGTGTTGATCTACTTGAACTATTATAGGTTTCCAGTCAATATTATTTATCGTGATCTTTCTGATATACCTTCTGACGTCTACCTCGTCGCAGGCGATTAGAATCGATGCAGACAATAACTTTGGAACTTCAAAATTTTTTGGTTGGTGAACAAAGAATTATTAGTGTGGCATAAAATATACATAATTAGTACTAATCCGGTATCCTAAATTAGGTCATAAAAAAAATCTAGATACTACATGTGAATATTAGATTTATACAAGCAATAGTCTAGTTAAATATTAGTTTTGTACTAGCTATACTATAGCTACTACTGTGAATACTAGATTTATACTTGTTATAATATATGTACAACTGTGAATTCTAGATTTATACTTGCTATAATATATGTACAACTGTGAAGTCTAGATTTTTACTTGCTATAATATATGTACAACTGTGAAGTCTAGATTTATACTTGCTATAATATATGTACTACTGTGAATTCTTGATTCATTGTATCAATAATCTATGTACTACCGTGAATTCTAGATTTATACTTGCTATAATCTATGTACTACTGTGAATTCTAGATTTATACTTGCTATATATGTACTATTATGAATTCTAGATTCATTCTATCAATAATCTATGTGCTACAGTGAATAATAGATTTATACTTGCTATACTGTTTATACTACCTGTGAATACTGGACGAACAGTGACACAATCAAGTGACCGGAATTTGTACAATGTACGATGTATAATTAATTTCAAACAGAAGCACAATACATCAATAAAGCTTCCTAAACGTTGATAAAATAACTTAGCATAGTTCGAAAAAATTTGTAACTATCACTCTTATCACTGCGGTTTACATTATTTGCATTACAACTCTTTTTGCAAGACTGGCACATTAAAGCAAAAAAATTCTTTGTATGCCAGGAAACAACTGCCAGAAAACATAAGGCCTCAAATTACTGTTGTGTCAATTGCTGATGATTCTAACATATTGCTTTCAGGTGGTCCAAACATAATGTTAATTGTTCCATGAACAGTACTGCTACTGAAGTATCATTTTCTAGGGATGTTTTGAGAGATACTATGTTTTCTTAAGTGAATCTTGGATGCATTCTTAACAATCTAATCTGCAGTAAATGTCCACAGATGAGGTGAAACAGCGATATGAGAAATACATAATTGTATTTTGTAGCATGTCTGAGCACACGCAAACAAATGATTTTAATTATTTTTAGTTCATTAAACAAGTTACGTTTCTGAAGAATGACATCAAGGTTTTTTTTTTCCGACTTTAAAAGTCACGTGTATCTAACCGAATATCAAATATACACATTATCTGCTCCTCATTTTCGTAAATTATGTAAATAACGGAATCTAATTATATCCATAACAATAAGAAATACATGAAATACCCCGTAGTTAACTTATTCAAAACTTCCAAAAAAAAAACGGTAATTATACGCATCAGTGCCATGCTAGATTAATGACTTGAAGAGAGACAACCGCAGAAAGGGTGAACGGTCTGCTGTAGACCTTATTTACGAAAAATAAAGGTTCGCACAAAAAGCTTTAAACACAAGGCAAAATACGTCAAACCAAAGCCTCTAACATACCGAGATTTCTCTAATTGGGTTAGATCATTTTGTTACTTTTTTTGACGCTTGTTTCATTTCTCATGGCGTGTTTGTGTACTCGTCGGACATTCACTACTCGCCGTCATCCTCTCTGCTGCTGTAATTAAATCAGTTATCTTAATAATGAAATCTTACACAGCTAGATTGGAAGCAATCAAAAAATATCTACAAGACCTTGATTCTGTCAAGCAGAAAGTACAACAACGTAAGTAAACACAGGAAAAAATGCCGAAGAAACAGAGCAATTATTCAAACCTGTCACAACAGCAACTAAAGGTATTATTCCCATGTTAGAACAAACCGCTAAAGCGACTGAAAAACACCAGAAAGAACTAAGAAAACGAAAGATTCTACCAGAACATCCGGCTGAAATAGCCGCTATTCAACCAAAAGGAGAATTACAAAAAAATAATTCAAGATATAGACCAAGCTCGTGATGAAATATAATATAAAACAGATTATGCCAGAATCAGAACCGGAACCATATCAATTAAGATCTAAAGTTGTTGCGAATAATAAATTTACAGAAGGTTATTTTAAGTCCATTAAAAACAAATGACACCATTGAAAGATTATATATGTTTGCAACCATGACGTTTGATCGAAGAAAAATTTTTGAAACCCGAGTACGCTGATGATGTTATAGGTCGTGAAGTCTGGTACAATGGATATTTCGTATACATTATGGAGTCGACCGAAATAGAGATGCAGTATATATTGCATTTAGTAATGAAATAGATATTTTTTTTGTAGAATTACAACATCAATATGCACAAAAAGAGCAACAAATAGCACAAGAATGACAACAGAAAGCACAACAACGACAACAAGAGCAATTTATACAACAAAAAATAGCACATCAACGACAACAGCAACAACTGTCACAATGACAACTATCACAACGATAACAACAACGGCAATTACCACAATAACTAGAACATAAACAAAAATATCAAATAGTTCATTATCTGAAGAAAGCTCCCGTAATATCCCAGGTGCAACTGGAAATGATATTGCTACTCGAGGAAGTGGTCTTATTACCTGTCCTGATAACATCATTGCCAACAATTATTTACAGGTCGTATCAGTGATATTAACGTTTATCGATCTCTCATCGATAAAATCGGTGTCGCATACCAGCTATTGAGGGTTTGCAATTAGATGCAAACACACTAAAATAAGATGAATATACACAATGCTCAACGTACACATACCATGGTCAGGGTGATAAATTGCTAACAATTATTTACAGGTCGTATCAGTGATATTATTGTTTATCGATCTCTAATCGATGAAATCGGTGACGCATACCACAATTATTGAGGGTTTGCAATTAAATGCAAATACTAAAATAAGATGACCATACACAATGCTTAACGTACACATATCATGGTCAGGGTGACAAATTCGCGATTACCTTCATATAAAGCGATCTACGGTGATGGATTCGGTGATATATAGGATCTGTTCAGATGGTTAGCTCCAAAACCATTACCGATTACAAAGCGACGTTTACGGAAAACCTCCATCTGATTACTTATATTTGGCATGGCTGTGATTTCACAGAAAAATGTTGGACTCCAATAGTACTATAATGATATGCTTGATAACAATATTTTACTATCGTTGGTTGTAAGTGAAGCGATAATATCGTATCATTCACAAAACCAAATTTGGTTACCAATACCGAACACGATGTCAAGCAAATAATTACCGATAACCCTGATGAAATATAATATGAAAGTAAACTTGCAAAAGAATCATGGCAGAAAAAAAATAATCGGTACGTTTACTCAAGGTAGTTCATGTGATCATAAACGACATTGTACAAGATTAATTATGGACGTTACTGAACTAGTTTTTATAATTGCTGATGCAACAGAGAAAAACACATTAATAAGTCAAAGTAATGTTTATTTATCTAATGGAACTAAAAAAGGACAGTTGCAAGTTAATTTAATGGTGAGACACTGCATTTTGCTCATTTAAGATCTTCGATGTTAGCATATGTTTCAATAAACTTATTTCAATGGTGAACAAATAGCCTGATACCGCGGTTAGGGTTGCCAGATTTATATAGATAAAAAATATACGGATTTGTTAAAACAATTACTTGGCTCTGGTGCATTATGGGGCAAATGGAGAATAAAACGATAAAATGTTCTTATTTATTTACGAATCTGACGGCGTTGAAATTAAGGAGGTATATTACAATAATAATCAAGTATTAAAATCATCATCGCAATCTTTATATGATCCTGTGGCCAAACATAATACAGTTTATCTAAATAGGTGTGGTGATTCTGGTAAAGCAAGTCGTGCGATTGAATTATTCCTGAACAACTGTTCAGATGTGGTTGTTTTGACACTTATACATAGACTCGCCAGAGAAATGAATGAACGAGGATGAAAATCTCAAACCTGTTATGGTTTCTTCAGATGGTGCAAAGACGCATGGACTCTTGAACGAATGGGTGAGAAATACGTTCCTAATATTATTATCTGGGATGAAATTTGTACGATATAGTTGAAAGAATTAAAAATAATTATTGACTGGTTATTAACGAAAAATACAGCTGTGATAATGTCCATGTGAGTGGCCGAAAACCCTTCCAGATTATTACGAAGAAATAGCCGATGATCATTGAACTATTGATGAAACATTGAAAGAATTTAAAAAGTTAATTAGACGACAAAAGAAAATACTGTATCAGATAATGCCTGAAGTAATTTCATAAACTCCTATAAATGACTTTTGAAATTTGTGGAGGTCTGCAGATGAAGCTTCAGCTGCTTCATGAACTTTATTGGGAGTACTGACATCAAAAGTTGCATACTGAATTCTTTTGGGTGTTGATATATAAAATTGCCATATTGCCTGTCCGCGCTAACCAATTTGCAGCAACAAAACGAGAGATATTTGCCGCATCAGTAAGTTTACTAATCGTTGCTCTACCTCTCTAATATCCTCTTTGGCTATAAAAAATCGATTCCATTATTTTGATAATCAGTTGACTAATAACCAGCCCCTAGCACTAGTTTACCTTCCATCACAGATTTTACTAGAAAGCGAGTAAGTTTTTTCTGAGATATTTATAATTTAC